TAGTAGTAGTAGTAGTGGTAGTAGTGGTAGTAGCAGTGGTAGAAGTCGTAGTAGTGGTAGTAGTTGTAGTAGTAGTAATCCCCGTCGTCGTTACGTTGTCGCGGCCGTTTTCGTCATCATCATCATCATCATCATCATCATCATCATCATCATCATCATCATCATCATCAGATAGCCGTGTGCAACAAATGTCCCTCTAACCACACTGAAGAAATCTATGACCAGATGAATTTATTTCCCTCTATTAACAGTAGGCTACATTCAGATAGCAGTTTGTTGCTTGTACTTCGTTCAGTTCTCCATAAGAGTTCACGTCTCATTCATGAACTGTTCGAGCGCTTCATTGACCCATCTGGTGCCATATCAAACTGTAGTGCAGTAGACTTGGGCTCGTGTTCCAAAATGGGTATTCTTGAACTTGGGTTGTTTAAAGATTTTCATTGCTTTTTCGAGTACATGAAGATCTATGTATCTGTATAACTATAATGGTCTAGTAATTAAATTTCTGCATGGTGGTTGAATAATGCATCTGATGTGATATGTACATTGTCAGTTTTTCATATTGAATTTTAATGAGAGGAGTATATTAATGTAAAAATTATATGTATACCTGTATGTGTTTTTATGGTCTTGTTCAGCCAAGAAAAATTTCTCTCTGGGACAATAAAGTATTGCCTTATCTTATCTTATCGTATCTTATCTTATCTTATCTTGCATTAAACTCGTTCAAAATCACTCAGTAGGTGAAAATTATTATTATGTGCATGTTTCCTTTCGTGTTAAGAAGAGGGTGAAGATTTAGTGGGAAAAAGGCCTCCACGCACCTGGAATATGACGCAAGCATGACATAGACTGGGTGAAGGTAAAATGAGAAGTGTTTAAAATTTTCCAAACCCCTGTGAAGCTGGCGGAGGGGGGGGTAGGAAGATGGGTGGGAGGGGTGGAGAGGGAGAAGGAGACGGAGCAGGGCGGGGGGAGATAGTTAAAGAGGAGAAAGGGGGAGAAACAGAAAGAGACACAGGGAGAGAGTGAAAAAGAGAGAAAGGGAGAAAGAGAGAGAGAGAGAGAGACAGACAGAGAGAGAGAGAGAAGAGTGATAACAATAATAA